GCTGCTGTCCCTGGTCCCCCCAGAGCAGAGCTCAGTCCCTGCCCCTCTTCTGCCCCTGCCCAGGCATTGGAACTGCAGGGAGGTCTCCCCTCAGTCTCCTCTGCTCCAGCTGAACACACCAAGTGCCCTCAGTGTCCTCCCACGGCTTCAAATCAAGGCCCTTCCCCATCTCTTTGCCCTCCTTTGGACAGTCTCCAATGGCTCAATCCCTTCCCTCCATTGTGTCCCCCCAAACTGCCCCAATGTTGAGGTGAGGCCGCCCCAGGGCAGAGCAGAGCGGGACAATCCCCTCCCTGATGCCCCAGGACAGGGATGTCCCTCCTGGCTGCCAGGGCACTGCTGACTCAGGGACAACTGGCACCACCAGGACCCCCAGGGCCCTTTCCCGGCTCTGCTTTCCAGCCTCTCATTCCCAGTCTGTCTGTCCATCTGGGGTTGCCCCATCCCAGGGGCAGAATCCGGCACTTCCTCTTGTTGAACTTCCCATGGTTGGTGATTCCCAGCCCTTGGATCTGTCCAGGTCTCTGCAATTTCACCATGAGATCCCAGAACTACACAGGCCATGCTGCCTGGGGCGTGTTCCCAGGCAGAAATCTGTTCTACAAACCAGACTTACGGGTCAGTACAAGGCATGAGCATGTCCTTTCACACTACCTGAAGTGTCCAAGTCTCCTCCTATTTTGTTCTCCTGGTGATTTAATTGTATTCAGTGGAGCTGTGCAGGGTTTGGTTCTGTCAACACTAACAGTGGAGCTACACGCAGTAAGTGTATTTTTTATTTTGACTTGCTTGATTTATTTACATATTATTATAGAGGTTTTTTTACAGTGCTGTATAACAACTTTTAACACATAACTGTCTCTGAAGATCAGACATTTCATTTGAAATTTCCTACAGATGAAGTTTGTAGATTAAGAGCATAAAGGCACAAAAGACTGGTAAGAATCTCAGCATTAAAGCTAATATGTCTTACCAGATGGCAGGAATTTTAGACAGACTGTGAAATAGGAAGTTCACACTTCCTAATATGAACAGGGCATGAAAACATGCAGTTCAACAGAGGGTGTAATAACCAATGCAGAATAAAGGGGAAACTTTTCAGGAGTAGAAAATATGGAGTGTAGATATCCATTGTGACATTGTACATTAAAATTATTTTCTTGAAGGTATAAATGCAATATTTATCCCGAGTATTCTATTTTTATTTTGTGAGTTCTAACTGTTATGAAAGATGGTAGTATGAGCAACTATTTAGTAAAGTCCTATGTAAATCAGCATAGAATAAATGTATTCAGTTATATTTATGATTTTCCCATTGATTTTACATATATGTCAAAAGTGCTTTCCAAGACCTACATTGAATAGGAAGGGAAGGAAATCAGTGCACTGTTTAAACAAAAAATGTAACAATATTGTTTAAGATAGGAAACCAGTTTTGAAATGTATTAGGAGTGCAACTGGATGTCACAGGCTGTAGGAGGAAGAAATCATTAGCTTGGAAAAAAAGCAGCACTAGCACAATAGCCATGGGCAGATGTTAATGAGGATATGCCAATCAGCAAGGTGTGGGATAAGATTAGGAGGATGAATGGTAGTAATAAAATCCCACAAGAGTGTGTTGTCTTGTTAAAGGAAAAAGCTAATTTACAAGAGTTTGTTTCTGTTAATCAGGTAGAGATATGTTTAGGAAAAGGAAATGTGGGGAAAATCAGGGTGATTTTGGAAAACAGGCTTGAGCACTAATGTCCTATTGTATCAGCAGTGATTTTCCCTTTGTGGTTACTAATTACTGTGAATGCTGTCAGGACAGCACGTGGAAGTGCAGGGAGAACAGCAGGAGTGTTGCACTGATGTTTGGGCTGTATCTGTGAGTTGGGGGGAGCAGGAATGGAAATGCAGGGTTAGATGGAGCAGTGTGGTACAGTTTGTACAGTATGTCACAGCCCTCGTGGCTCCAAGCCTGACCCCTCTTGCTGCCTGGATGTTTGACAATGCAGGCATACATGGAGGCAAATAGGACTTCTAAAAATACATTTCACAAATCATCCAGTCCAGCTGTCAGGGGGGGGAACAGTCCCTTTGTCCTGCAGCCCTGGACAACTAAAATCCCATTTGAGACAAATGAAATTTAGTTATTTGCTGCCCGACAGGAAAAGCTGCTGACTTGTGCTTTATAGGCCTCAACACACTGACCAACCATTGTGTCCAACCTGAGGCTTAAAACACGAGCTGGCCTCTTGCCCAGTGGCTTTGTAAACACCACCAAATGGCAAAAGCAGTGTGTGGGCAGAGCCCCCAGCCTGCTGTTTGGAACAATTCCTGCCCGGTACCTCCACAGGGTCAGTCCCACTTTGGAAAGGATGAACATGACTGACTATATATGGCCACCTAAAAATAAAAATAGGGACGAGCACCTTTTCTTGTCAGACATATCAGAGATCCAGGTCACCTTAAAAAATCCTAGGCTGCAAACCATACTGGCTATAGGGAAAATAAATAAATATATATATATATGAATCTCTTAGTCCTCCATGGATCCAGTTTTGATGGAACCAAATGGAGGCCGTTGACTCCAACTGACATTGGATGTGTCCCATGACCTTCTGGTTTATATATTTAGACTCCCCATACTAATCTTCTCTTCTACAGGTCTGATGTCATCACCATTATTATAAGCAGAACTTGTCACTTGATTGACAGCAAATAACCTTTTCCAAAAAGTAGCCAAGGAGTAAGAATGTTTTGTCAGGGTGACATATGATCATGGCTGCCTGCAGTCCATTTTTGTTTGCAGGCAGTGGAAGAATGTCAGATATTTATAAGGTCAGTGTCCCTAGTCCAGAGATGAAGGAGATGTGTTTGTTTTTTAATTGCTGTTCTGCTTAAAAAACCGATTTCCAGTTGGGCTGAAATGAAGGACTGGACTCATTGACTGGACTGAAGTAAATGTTTTACCTGTTGCAACCAGCTGGCTGGGCCCAGGAATGGGGTGCTCTGACTGCACACACAAAGGGGTCACTGGCAGTTCATATTTTTGCTTTAGGAAGTCAAATACTTAAATATATATATAATTTTTTTTTTACTGTCTGGTGATTCAGATGTCTGGGATCTCATTTTGCTTGTTTTCTTGAAAACTTTTCACGAAAGGGAATCAGCTTGCAAAACCACAAAAATGTACTTCTCAGCCAGCTGTGGTAAAATGGTTTACATGGCCATCTCAGTACTGGAGAAGTTTTTGTAGTTAAAAAATTTATTCTGATGAGCAGTAAGTGATAATGAATTATTAGCAAGGCAATAGCAGTTGGCTTAGAAGTGTTCAAGGTATGCATCAAATGTGGAGGTGCTGAGAGAGAATATTTGTAAGACAAAAGAACTGTTGACATTTGGTCATACTAGAACTTAGATTATTGTTTTAAAACAGACATGCTGTAAATGTGGGAATGAGAACCAGACTGAATTTTTTTTTACTTAGAAAAGAGTGTAGCATTTAAGTAGATGCCACTGTAAGGTTGTGACAAAGAGTAAAATGTAGTTCTGTGTAGCTGACCCAGCTTATTAATAGCATATTGAGAACTTCTAATGTTATAGAGTCTAAATACTCTTTAAGAAGAAGTGGAACAAAATTTAGAATTAATTCTAGAACATTTATAAACAGGTATAGAAAAATAGTGTCCCTTCTACTAAGTGTTAGAAATTAGGGGCTACCTGCCAAATGATGTTGTGCTTGTTTGACCTTGTCCAGCTGATTGCATTAAGGTGTTATATATGTTTCAGATAACAGAATTTGGCTTTTTTGGTGTCTTATATTGGACATGAAATTCTTATTTTAATTTATTTTAACTTACGTTTATATAAATGCACCAAAAAACCCATATATGTTTATAAATATATATAAATATTTAAAGTACTTAGAAAGAAGCCTAAATGATAGTTTTAAAGAATTTCCATGTTCCTGCAACACAGGATTGTTTCAGTGGGACTGGATAGCAGCTGCTATTGCATTGCCTTAGTTTTTGTTAGGGCACTGTAACAAAGGCAACTAAATTTCAATTGCCTTAGTGGTGCTGTCACTACCTTTTGCCTGTAAAGATTTTTTTGTATTTTAGGAAACTGCCAAATAAGGAGTAATTTTGTAATGGAGAACATGGAATTACGAAAGTAGGTTGAACAGAAGGGTAACAGAGAAACATGTAAGTCAGTATCTCATGGACAAAACTTTGCCAAATTACTTGGTACCACACAGAAAGGTGTAGTGGATAAAGCTGTGATCTCATGCAGGCCTGACTAGTATTGAACTAGACTTTTCTCTAGGGTTTCTTTGTTGATTCCTGAAAAATATTCAGTATTTCACGGTGTATCATATATCAGTATATGCCTGAGATTGGGACTGAGGTTACCCACTTACAGAAGGCAGGAATCCACAAGATGTGAGACTGACAAAGCTTCCTTCAGAAATGACTCTTCTGTGCCCCTCCACACGGAGCCTTTGGAGTGTCCTGTGCAAAGCAGGCCAGGTCTGCTGGTGACATCATGAAATGTGAGATGCCTATGAGCTAGTCCTTGGCCATGCTGGAGCTTTGGCCACCTGTCTGTCCTATGCTTGGGAAGATATTCAGGATGTTGACAGGGAAGAGTGGCACTTATCTACAGAAGCTTGGCAGCCCAGGGTGGTGTGTTTTCCGAGAGACCGGAGCAGCTCCCAGTGCTTGGTTGGCTGAGCACCACTTTCCTCTGGCTCCAGCAGGAAAACCAGCACAGCTGAGCTCACTGGCTGGTTTCAGGTTCCTGATTTGTTTAGTCAGCTCCTGGTGCTTTCATACTTTCTGGGTAACTGCTGCCAAGAGTGTGTGTGGTTTGCTTCCATTGTGGTCCACCCCCTGGGCTGGGTTCTCCTTGATACACCTGACATCAGGTTTGAGCAGCTCACTCCCCCATCACTAAACTGAAGTTGAGGATACACTGCCCAGTAATTTTTTGTTTGTTTGCTTGCTCTTGAAGCTTCCTGAGTGAAAATGGTGCACAACTGCCTGGGTTATTGGTGCAAATATCCTGCACTGCTGGGCACGTGCCAGGGATGCAGGAGCAGATCTCACAGGGTTTATGGTTCACTCTACTGTTGGCCTTTCTACAGCCCCAAAATCCCTCAGCTGAAGATCAGGGGCTACCAGAGGTTATTTCTCTGGCATTCCACAGTATTTAGATCCATCACCACCTTTCAGTGCCTGTGAGCAGTGAGTGGTGCTCTCTGCACCCCCTCTCAGTTTCTTGTTTCCAGAGGCACATGCAAACCTCTCTGCTGTCGTTTGGCCCAAGGATCCTGATCCATCTCTCTGTGTAAATTGTGTGTGGCTTTGCTGAGATCAATAATTGTGGCTCCAGCCCTTTTGAGGGACATCCAGTCAATGGCAGTATTGTAAAAGGAGGTAGACAAAGCTCCCAAGTCTGTATCAGACTATGAGATCACAGTTCTCCCTGGTGGGAGAGGCAGGAAACAAACCCTCAGTCCCAGCAGAAGTGCACATGTGAATTCTGCAGCTCTGCTGTGAGTTGTATCTGTCAGCAGCCCTGTGGTGGCACCTGGCAGCTGAGGTTTGAGGGGAAGAAAGATGTTCCCTCTGTGTGTGCACTGCTAAATAATACAGAGAAGCAGATAAACAGTACCTACAGGTGCATCTTTTTTTCATTTCACCCTGATGATCAAGATACTATAACTCAAATATGTGTATTTCAGATCCTTTTAGGCACACAACAGCAAGCCAACAGTTACTGCTAGATAAGGGAGTAGTAAAGTGATCTTAGGCCATATAACTTGTTTTCTGTTGTTGGGTTTTGCACATGTTGGTTTTCTTTTGGAATTCCAAGAGTTACAGTGAGGAAATTATATGACATAGATCTTGCAAAGTTAAGCTTTCATAGTGGTCTTGAGTGTCAACACACTGTATGTACATCTCAAAGATGATTGTAATTCCAAGAGCTGGAAGATGAGAAGGCAATAAATAGTAGGATGCTCTTGTTCCTTTTCAATGGGAAACTATTTCAGCCATGGTGATGGAGTGGACAAATGTTTGGTTTAGCACAAAAGAAAAAGGAGAGTAAAAGAGATTGAAATGCATAGTCATGTAGGAAATAAAGACTCTAATCAGTAGATAATCATAAAAGTAGTGAAAAACTTCTCTTATTGTGTTTTTAAATTAAAATGTACAACATGCACATGTATTCCCCAATCTACGCAATATTTTTTCCAGGGAAGAAAGAATCTGTAGAGTTGTTGAGGTAACATGATTTGCTGTTTCCTGGAATAATTGCCCACAAACATGTGAGCTTGTCCTCTGTGTTAAAGTAACAAACTCTTGGCTGTGGATGGGTGGTGATCCCAGTGATGGATGGTTACAGAAATGTCAGATGTGGATATTAGACACACTTGTCCCTAACAGCACTTGTGGTTTTCTCCTCCTGTGGATTACAAAACATACTGACAGTCTTGAGAGTTGCTAATTTAGGCCTTCTGATTGCAACTTCGTGTTTTTCTTCATCTTACAATTCTTGGAATGGTGGTTTCCTGAGAAAAACAAGCTCATAAGACTTTGGAACAGTCTCTCTCATGGTTTCTGTGCGTGCAGAATTGGCAGACCAGCACAGTGCATAATAAGAATGAAGTTCAATCTGTAGTGGTTTTATAACCTATGTTTTTAAGAGTCTGTAATCATTTTTCTCAAAATATATAAACAGAAATCTTTGTAAAGCTCTTTTCTCTGGCTGTACCATGGTATACATGTAATTTGGGGATTTTCAGCCATAACTACAGTAGCAGTAACAAAAGATATTTAAAGCCCATTAGCTTCAGTCATGTTTTTTCTGAATGATTTTTAAAAAATCATGGTGCTGATCTTACACTGAGATCCATTTACACACAGCTCTCATTGAAGGCCCAGGACCTGCAGTTACTATGATTCCATTCTGTGCCTAATCACACTCCCATTTTACATAAAATAAAGGTAGGACTTCATTTCAAGGTCAGCAATTTATGGATTAATAATAATATTTGTAAATATCTTCAAAATCCTATTCAATAGGCAGAAATGCAAAGATCTGGAGAGTTTACCCACTGCAAAGTTGGATGGCACCACGAAGGATGAAGTACAAAGTTGTGTCTGTGATTTAAGAACCTGCACTTATTTGCATTGTAGTAATTTGTGCCCTCTGACCATACCTTATAAATTGAAGGAGTCTGATAATAGACACGAGCAAGAAAATACAGGCAGGTATTTCAAACAGAATCTGTAGAGAGAAAACAGTAACATGTAGCTCTTGTTGAAAGTCTCAGTCTGCAGAACGGGGATTTTAAGGAGAGATACTGGCAAAAGAATCAGGCTCATCTGATCTGCTCAGGAAAAAATGTCAGCCTGAAGGGAAGTGTCTTCTAGAACAAAATCTACATTTCCAGAGAACTTCCTTAAACTGAAACAAGCTGCAAGATGGGCTCGTTTCTTAAAATGTGAACTTGGATGAGATATTCTTATTATGCTTTCACTGATGCAAATTCGTTAAATAGCAATAAATCTTGAGAGATTACGTTTATAACAGAATATCAAATGATTGTTTGTGGTTTTTTAAGACTCTGAGATGTGCTTGGCATGTAGCTGAACAATCATTAATCTTTGCTGACAGCCTGGTTTGTGTCCCTAGCACACCACATGGCATTGTCCACTCGGGGGGTATTTTTAGGCAGCTTTGTAGCAGATGCAGTGGCTTACTCCCGTGATGGGGGTTACATTCCCAGCAGGAAACTAGTCCCAGAAATGACAGCAGTGCAAGGCACAAGGCTCAAAACTCTGCTTTAGTGGGTCACCTGCCAAGAACTGCACGTGGGTAATACTTTAAAGCTGCCTTTGCCTCCCATTGGGGACTCGCCTTGTGTGTGAAATCTCCCACCCAGGGAACGTGCCAGAAGTTGGAATTAATATGCACATGACCAAAACAGCGACAGTCACCTCCTACTTGATACTGCAAATTCCTGATCCTCACACACGTGCACTATTCACTGCAGCAATGAGGAACATGAAGTGTATTTTAAGGAATATATTCCAAGAGCTTAGTTGTGCTGCTTTGAAGATGAGCAGCAATCTTTGTGTTAAATTTAACAGGAGGAGATCAGCCCTATGACTGCAAAGAAGTTATTTTTCTAGAAACCAAAGTAACTTAAATGTCTGTATTAAATCATTTCCATTGAGAAAAGTACTTTTATTCAGGAAAGATGTAGCATTTTATCTCAATATGGTGTTTTAAACCCTTTACTCTCTATTATATGGTATTTGTGCAAAATAAGTACCATGTGTAATATGTATATAATTACACATAATTATAATAATTAATATTTAATGCTAACACAACGGATAATAAATATACCAATTACCTGAAAAAGTAATAGTTATGGGAACTGACATAATTCAATTAACATCCAAATGAATTTCCCATTGTTTTCAGCAGAATCTCCCTAACTGATGGGCTCCCCTTGGGAAAACAAGAGACCAGGAGGGCTGGATCACAGACCTGCAAACCAGGCTTGGGCAAGGAGTTCCTCTGGGAACTTGGCAAGTGCTTTTACTGTGAATACAGGCAAAGAGGACACGTAATTTAACAACTTTGCTATCCCTCTATATGAAAAAAAGATCTATTTGCTTTCTTTTCAGATGAGTGCTTTTCCTGCTGCTTTGTGTTGTCCCTGTGACACCACTAATGCAGGTAGGGCAGAGGCAGCTTCCTGGCCATTGCAGCAGGAGCAGAATCATTGATTGTGCTTCCTGAATTTCTATTCATTTTCATATTGAAGTCAGCAATAGTAACTTTTAATAGTCAATGGGCCAGGCTGACAACTAGTAAATAGAGAGATCAGTATTGAAATTGTAAACCAAACATGGTATAAAAATCAGAGGAAGCCCCAAACACCTTTCAGAGTAAAAACCTTATTTCAGCCTCTCTGCTTGTGAAGGGAAAGAAGCACTGGATTGCAAGAGGTGGAGTTTGTGTGTAATGTCTAAAAATACTTGTGAAGGAATTTACCTGGATTGTGTAATCAGTGCTGATTACGCAAAGAAAGCCCTCTGCACACAGCTGGGCTGCCAGGACACAGGAGGAGGACGGGTGTGCTCAGAGGGGTTGTGTTCAGGGGGATGATTGCAGGCCCCCATCCTGCAGGGAGCAATCCAGGCTGCCCTGGGAAGGGGCATTCCCACCCTCACTGCTTGGCACTGTGCTGAGCCACAGGATGGGGCTGGAATGAAAAACTCCTGCTGTATGTTGGCTTTTTTTGGAAAAGAGAAGGATTTCTGCACAGACACTCTCTGGAGTGCAGGTGAGCACCCTGATGCTCCACAGTGTCACTGCAGCTTCTCAGCAGCTCTTGCTGGGCCTGCTTTGCTGCTGTTGGAGTCGTTGGGGTCTCAGCATTTCCTGTATTAATGTCTGTGCCACCATTGCTAATTGACCATGAAATTTTAGCCTCCAGTCACACATACATATCTGAAGTGATTTTATTCTAGTCAAGTAAGTGTTCTTGACCACCATTAAAAGCTCTGACTTGTGTAGCAGGGGACATTACTGATAATTCATGGTTGTTTGCTTATTATTCAAAACAATACACTTGCTTTCTGATATAACATAAGAGTAAATTGTAAATTTATTTCCTACACAGTGGTTAAAATCCATTGTGTAGAGAGCAGTTGTATCCCAGATGAATGTATTCCTATGCTACCAAAACAGATTTAAATCTGGTACCTAGTAATTGTTTAATCTAAAAAAAATAGCAGTCTTTGTTAGAAAAAAGGATATTTTAGAGACATTAAGACTTGGGAGCTTTAGCAAAACAACTGAAGAGGAGATACTTTTCTGTGCTAATAGAAGTGATATAATATCACAATTTGTAAATTCGGGAAATGCATCTTCTAAAAATAGCTCTTACAAGAGCTACAGACCTCTCTCAAGTGTAGGATTCTGCTGTTGGATTTGCCTTCCTTGACAGTACCCTTGCTCCTCTCCAAGGAGATCTGTGGTTTAACTACACATGCATCTTAGCAGAGACCAGAGACCCAAGTGTGACAAATAGGAAATTACTCTCATCTTACAGAGTTTGATTAAAGCTTTAGGCATAGAGCTTTTTAAATGACAAATGCTCAATGAAATAATATTATGTCTTTATACTCCAGAGCACTATTAATCTGAGGTTTCAGGACCTTAAGAAATGTTAATTAACTCATTACCATTGATGTAAAGTGTTAGCATTGCACTCATCTTGTGGGCTGGTAGCTGAAGCATGGAAATACTGGGTTCTTCAGGAAGAATGAGACTGGGGTTCCCTGCCATGTGTATTCCCTGTCAGGTATTTACAGAGATGTTAACTGCTCCTGCACTAGTGAACTCCATGGATCACCCATCAAGTTAGCCCAAAAGGAGCAGGAACAATTTTGGGAGAGACTGAACAACTGCAATAGTACCCAAAGCAGGATGTTAACGCAGCCTGGATATTTGGGAGCCCAAATTTGATAGCTAAGAAGCCAGGCAGTGCTCTAAGGATTTGAGGATTTGAGGAATGTTCAAGGATGTTCAAGGAAAGAACAGAGACAGTGTTGGCTGTTCTGCAGAAAGGTAAAGGTTTGCATCACCCTAAATATATTTTTTTTCAGAAAGCTGGGGCCAAAGCACCGCCCCGGGGGCGAACAGCAGAGCCGGGATGTTCCGAGTTCCGGCTCGGGACCGTCGGGCAACTCCCGGGGCAGGGGCAGGTGTGGGGAAGGACAGGACGGGGCCTGGGCAGGGGAGGGAAGTACAAGGCAAGGTGTAGGGAGGGACGAGGACAAGGCAGTGTAGGGCAGGACAGGCCGGGCACGGGGCAGGGACAGGCCGGGCAGGGACGGGCCCCGGGCCCTCCCGCAGGAGGCCAATCCTCGGTGCGGGGCCGCCACCTCTCGGCCGCGATCGGCAAAGCAGCAGCACCATCGGCATTCCCGCACTCCCGCACTCCCGCACTCCCGTACGTCCGCATTCCCGCGCTCCGCACTCCCGCATCCCGCACTCCGCACTCGGGTGCTCCCGCACCGCTCGGCAGTGGCTGATTCCCGTTGGCAGCTCCCGTTTCAGGCGGTGCTGGGCCACACAGCCGGCCTGGGGCTCCAGCTCTGCTCCCATGGCTCACACCCTCCTCCAGCCCCAGGCTGCTTCCAGGGCAAAGCCTGCCGAGACCGGGCAGGAATTTTTACAGATCCCCGCACCCATCCACGGGGAAAGGGAAGGGCGTGCAACCTGCAGAATTTCTCTGCATGGCTTTTAAAACCTGTAAAACCTGCGACACATAAAAACCCGGTGGTACTTTCTAGCCAAGACATGTTCAGGTATCAGGAACCGAATCGACAGCTGCGCTCTTTGGTACAAAAGCTGTGGTGCAAGACCTGGGATGGGGCGTGTGGAGTCCCCTCAGTGACTCAGCAGGAACCCTCAGACAGCCACGCAGGGGTTCATTTTCTCAGCGCTGCCACACTGAGGTGTCCTACAGCAGTTTAGGAGTGCCTAGGTATCTGTAGAGTGGATTCAAGGTGTGGATCTGCACAGGATCCATCAATGTCCACATTTCCTAAACCTGCATGTGCTGAAATTTTGTTTTATGTAATGAACTAGAACCAAACAATTGCTGCATACAGGAATTAACTCCCATAGAGAAGCAACACAGCACACAAAGAATTAGCAGTGGGAGCCTTAACCAAAGTGAGCACTGCCTGTGATTGCTGTCCTGACCATCAAGAGAGACTTAAAAGGTATTTTGAAAAGACAAGCCCAGGAACAAAAATGACAGGGCAGGAAAAACACGGATATAATGGAGACACTAATTTTACAATACATGGGCATTTTCTACACACATTCCACCCCATGGCCCAAAAGAAATGGTAAGTGCTCTTCTCTGTTCTGTATAAGACCTGTATTACTTCTCCCCTTCAAGTTTGCTCCACTGTTGCAGATGCCAGGTACCCTGTTTTTTCCCCCTCAAATTGTTTAACTGATTTACTTAGCAAAGTTAAATCCAGAGCAATTTGTTCCTGTCTATCCTTAGCAAAAAGTTTGCTCTTTCCGTGCCACATCTCAAGAAGAGTTTCTGTCTGACCAGTCTGAATAAAAAAATTGACCTCTCCTTGCAAGCCATCCCGCTCTTAAAAATCTAGGACACTTAATTTATGAGAAATACTTAAAAATGTAGATGTAGGTAGTCAGCTCAGGTATTTCAGAGTTGGTGCACTGACACAGTCACCTGCCCTCAGGTTGCTCTGGGCTTTTATCCCCCAAAGTGCTGCTCCAAGTGAGCTCCAGTCCACCCAAATCCCCATAGTGACCTCGCACTCAGGTTTGTCCCCCTGCTAAACCCAAAAGATGTGAAGCTCTGCAAATCTGGCTCCTTTTTTGTCTTTGAAACCTGGGACTGGATTTGAAAGTCTGATCCCTTTTTTTATTATCAGTCCTCAGGGAAATCCATTCTACTAATTTCTTTGTGGCCACAACAAGGGGTTTGTTTCCTTAGTGGAAAATGAAAGCAGGATTCAAGACT